ACCACTTGCTAGAAGATTTCATGAAATTCACTTAGTCAGGATTAAAACCTTTGTTTACAAGTTATGAATGAGGTTTCTGGATGCTTATACGTAAGTGTTACATTATAACACTTCTTAATTCTTCACACAAGATTGCTGATAGTTCATTTCTGGCAGTTAAATTAATACAGCTCATTATACTGTGAACTGGCGGGGGTTTAAAAATAATTTCTTCGCTTAGGCAGTTATCATCGTTATTATCATTACATCACCGAGGCATTTTCTCGCAACATTAAAAATTACAATACCGAGGCATTTCCTCGCAACGTTAAAATATACATCACCGAGAAGCTTTTTCCTCGTAACGATGACTCTCAAAGTAAATTGTTTTTTTTTAGTAACTAATCACTTGGATCATGACATAATTTGACATAATGTAAACTCTTTGTTTGAATCGTTGATAAAGTATGGGAAGTATTAATCTCATGTAAATTTTGTTAGCTTTGCAATATTTCTCTATCGCATAATTTTCTTTGTTGTGTAATTTTAATAGAACGTAAATTTCATGCTCTGCAGTTTTAACATCACATAATATTTTTCTTTGCACAAGTTTATTTCACACTAGATCTTATGTTTTATAAATCTTTGCTAGTTTTGTTTTGTAAATATTTTGTTGATGAATGTTATGTTATCTAATGTCCAATTTTAATCTCACATAAGAATTATTTGTTGTTTAAAATTTCACAAGATTGTATGACGAATTTCATTGTTGTTTATTGCTCTTTTGAAACCTTAACACTTATGCAGTTGTCGTTAATATCAGAGTCATAGAAATTGAACATTTAAAATGGAATTGAGGTTAAGTAATACCGAAACGTGTAGCAGAAGCCGGGGGCGCGGTGCCTAGTGGAGCCAGCGGGATTTATCGCGCCATCTGCACAAGGGATGCAGGCTGTGTGTAGATGTCAGGGGAATGGTCTGGACGTTGTGATGCTGTTAGCTTATTTATAGCCGTGACTAACCACTAGTTTTCATCTGTAACGGCCTGGTTAGGACGGCATGTTCGTCATGGAAATGTGCTGTGCGGTAGGCTTGCCGATAGATAGAATCACCGTCGCGGGGGAGAACAGCCCCAACCGGGAGCCCCAAACCCCGGTTGTGCTAGAACGCCCTAATCGGTATTTTTGTTGTGCTCGTGTTGTGTAATAACTTGTGTATTTGCATCCAGTTTCTATTAAATTTGTGATATTCAGATATTTGCATTGATTCAAAAACATATGTGTATTTTTGTGTTTGTTCGGTTTTCATATGTGTATGTCTGTCAATTCGCGGTTGTCTTCTCTTTCATGTTTTTATATGTTTTATTTGTAATGTATAATATGTGGATGAATAAAACTCTAGGGGGGTTTTGGAGCTGAAAAGCGATTGCGATTCGGCCCCCATTGGGCAACCCGAGGGCAAGTCACGAGTCACCATCGCTCGTCGCTTCTTTTCCTCCCAGGGAAGGTGTGCGATTTATAGCCCCACCCTGAAAATTTTGTCTGTTATTTCTTGCGCTCTCTACACGCACGTAGTGTATGCTCACTTGTATGAAAGAACGTCTTCCCGCCATTTTTCAGAAAAAAATCCAACGTAGGTTCCTTTTGTTAGACGATCACAGGCAAGGCTAAATTTTGAATTTTTAAATTTTTCGCGGGCTTTCAAATTTTTTTCAAGTGTCAATTTAAGGCGGGAAGTTTGGGTTATCACAACCTAAAAAAATCTGAAAGCTCAACGAACAATGTTACACGCGCATATTTTCTAGGATTTCATCTGGACTCTAAGTTATCTTGGACTATTCATGGTGAGATTACTACAAGAAAAATGACCAAAAATATTTTTTTAATAAGATGTCTCAAAGATCAACTTCCATTTGAATGCCTCCGTAATGTGTATTTCGTAATATGTGACTCACATCTTAGGTATGGTATGCTATTGTGGGGGCATACCTCCACACGACATCGTCTGTTCCGACTTCAGAGAAAGGCAATTCGAATAATAGCAAATCTAAAATTCAGAGAAGTCTCTAGAGCTCAGTTTTATCAAATTAAATGCATTAACACTACCTTCTGCCTATATTCATAACTGTTTAATATACATCAAACAACACGAGAATGATTTTTCATAACACAGTCAAATACACGAGCATAATAGTAGACACAGAAATAATTTATGCCTGAAAGAAGTACAAAAATCGCAAAATGCATTTAATTACTTCGCAATAAAATTTTATAATAAAATTCCGGGACCAGGAAAGGGATGAACAAATTTCTGTGGAAGTCGAAATATAGGTATATTGTGATAAAAGTTGATAATGGGCGTTGCTGGATCCCTTAGGCATGTAAAGCTTACAAAGATGAGAGTTCATGACATTGCGGATCAAGGTTCAGTTTTTCTTGTTAATCGAACTTTCACAATATTGATAAATGTATTCTTCTGAATTCTTTTCTATCTAAATATTTTTCGAAAATATCTACAATTAAAACACGAGACAAACTCTCGATTATTCAAGAATTTTCGTGATGATCTTGATTAGATATAGCTTGAGACTGCACAGTCGGCCAGCCAAATTTATCGCCTTATGTCGCGCCGTCCTTTTTAACACTTGTTTGGGAGATTGCCCATCACTTCCGCTGTGCCTAACTTTGCTAATAATAAGGTGCAAAAATGAGCCAGAGTATTCCTTTAGTAATTAACCGAAAAACTTAAGTTTTGCAAGATAAGTGTTTGCTGAAATATATTCTTAGAGTATTGATAATGATATATACTAGGAGTATTACTATACTATACACGTGATTAAATTTTATTTGATAAAATTGATTTATTTGAAAGTTATATTTTTCGAGATTTTTTGCCAAAGTTGTTGTTCTTTCTTCTCGTTAAGCAAATTTCAAAACCATAAAGTCTTATTTATAGATTTTAGTTTAACTAATAAATAACTAGGCTCCGGATCTTAGGTTTTTGGCTTTTTATGTCTACTTCAGGCATTGCAGCGAAATTTATATATTTATCCGAATTTAAAAAATTCTGTTTATTTAACGCCCATTTATTACTACCTAAAATGCCTAATTTACCGTTAGAGACCTAAAGTGTTAATTAAACGACCTAATTGTAAATTTTAAAAGGCTTAAAATAGGATTCCACGACCAACGAAGCGGACGTGCTTGCAGAATTGAGATTTTCCGTGAATTCATTGCTTTGGCTGGCAGATTGTTTAAAAATGGGTTGTAAACAACGCCCTTGAGTTTAATGGTACGGGTTGGTGTCGCCAACTGACAACGCTGGCCTGCATTTCATTTAGATTATAGCCGGAAGGAGGTGAATCTCTGAAAAAGCATTTTATTTTAGAAGTTTATTGTTAGTGATACTGAGTGTCTTTGCGTGTTAGTGAGTGTGCTGGGGCCTGTTTTGTTTTTGGTGCATACAGTAAAGAATCCTCAAAATGCCTAAGGTTAAATCATCCATGAAAGATGAAATCAAATTATGGTTAGGGAATAATTTGGACACTAATTTTCAATTTCTTTCTTCAACCAAAGACAATGAGTTATTCTGCAAAGTGTGTGGAAAAGTTGTAAGTAAACATTTAAAATACTGAAGCTTGAATTATGTTCACATTTTTGTTTCCTAGTTTAAGTGCGAAAAAAAATCACACTTTGGACAACACTGCAGTGGTAATGCACATAAAAAGAACAAGAATAAATCCAGTAAGCAGACTTTATTAAATATTAGTTCTGACCAGGGGCGGCTCATGACTTGAAAAATTGATGAGGCACAGCACAAAACGCTCTAAAATATAAATAAATCAAGTTTACTTAAATATTTTCTATTTAGTCAAATAAACAAATTTGTAAACTCATTTAACTGTCCACAAAGAACCAACGTGAAGGTGTAAGGAGGTCTTGCAAGGAAAGGATGAGAATGACAGGACAAAAGGAAAGGGACGCGTGGTCAGAAAAAACTAATATAACTTCTAACAAAAAACAAAATTAAAATAAACTTTAAAGGAAACATATCGAAAAAGATCAAATACAACATAAAATAAAGCTAATTTGATTTATAACAAAAAACAAAATGAAAAAAATATAAAATATAAATACGGATTTATTTTAAATTTTTTTTTTATGGATCAATTAACGATTTACTCAAATCAGGAACCGGCGGTTTTAATTCCTTAACTACATACAATTTATCATCATACGTGAAAGTAGAAAAAACAGAACTGCCATTGTCATTTAACGTTAGTAGAGAAAAATTCCGATTTACTCGTAATCTTAAATAACGATTACCGAAATCAAATTATGACAAGCACAAAGCACTAACGCGACCCACGCAAACGTAGGCACTTTTAAGACAAAATTCTGTTACCGAAATTTTGAATCAATTTATACACACACAGATTTGTGGCAAAACAATCAACGGCCTAATTTTGAATACTCCTGCGAATGCAGACTGCATTGCAATCGCAGGTTCCCCGCGCGCAAATAATATAGTTGTCCATCTCTTTTGCAAGCACGGAAATGAGGCTAGCCTCAATTTTGTCTTTTTTCAACTCATACCGCTTATAAGTGTATTGCAGGTTGCTTGCCTATTAACGACATGATTTCTATATATGCTGTAGAGGCAAGCTTCGAGTCGGCCTCATTCGCGTCACAAAATACATGTTGTGCCGAGTGTTTAAGCGCGCTGTTTAATTAAGGGAGCAACGAGTACCTACCGAGATAAAAATAAGAATATAATTTTCTATATTTATTTTTAAAATTTTAGAAAAAAGACACAAATTATTGGCCGAAATGTGTCCGTATAAAATAATAAAAATCCTAATAAGGCGTAAAATTCATTGGTGAGGCACTGCCTCACCTGCCTCATAGGACAAGCCGCCCCTGGTTCTGACAATGATTTTACGCAATTTTGCACTGATTTATGTAGGGCATTTACCGCAGCAAATATTCCATGAAATAAAGTTAGTTGTCCTGAGTTTAAAAATTTTATGCATATAAATATACCTACAAGACGGCATTTACCCTCAGAAAGCACTCTGAGAAAAAAATATTTACCGAAAGATTACGATATGGTGAGCAATAGAATTTTTATTTAAAAACTTTTTTAAATAAATTTTATAATTTACAGGTAATTAAGGAAATTAGAAATTCGATTGGCAATAATAATATATGGGCTAGCGTCGATGAGACGACGGACAGATTAGGGAGATACATAGCCCATTTAGTAATTGGAAAGTTATCTTCTGAAGAAGCTGGCCGTCCATTTCTACTAGCTTTGAAGCAGCTTGATAAAACTAATAGCAACACAATCTCGAGATTTATAAACGAATCATTGGGTGTGCTATTGCTAATTTTAAGCATTGAAATTATTATAATTTATTTAATTATTGTTAATTTGCAGCTTTATTGTGGCCAAAAGGAACTGAACACAAAAAAGTTAAATTGTTTGTATCAGATGGTGCTTCATACATGATCAAAACTGGTACTAATTTGAAGGTGTTTTATGAAAATATAACAACTTAACAAGTATGGCACATGGGTTACATTTAGTGTCTGAAACAATTAGACTGAATTATCCAGATGTCAATGGGATAATTCGTGTTAAAAAAATCTTTTTAAAAGCACCAATAAGAGTAGAGTTTAAAAAAACAGTTTACCAAATACACCTCTCCCATCTGAACCTGTATTAACCAGGTGGGGCACTTGGATTCAAGCAGCATTATTTTATGCAGAACACTTTGATGTTTTAAAACAAGTCAGTAAATATATAATGGTTTTGTTACTATCATTCTTATATTGAATATTTTTAGGTTGTAATGTCATTTGAAGCCAAAATTTGCACAAAGCATTAAAAAAGCTCAAGAATTCCTGATGAATAAAACAAACGTTAAAAATGAACTCTTGTACATTAAATCTCACTTAAAAATTATTGCTGATGCAATAGAACAATTAGAAACTATAGGTTTAAAATTAAACCAAAGTATGGAAATTGTGGGAAAAAGTGTATACCTACATCTTTAAAAAACACACCAGGAAAGGTGGGGGAAATGGCGTTCCAAAAATTATGTTCTCTATTAAAAAAGAATCCAGGACACGATTTTATATGTTCAGTAAATAACGTAATTTGCGGTAATGGAAATGCTACCAACAATACATACATATGTGAAAACGTAGATTGTTCAATATTTAATTTTGCACCCATCACTTCTTGTGATGTGGAACGCACGTTTTCAAAACTTAAAAGTGTTTTAAGCGATCAAAGGTGTAAATTTACAATCGAAAATTTAGAGAAATATATAGTTTGCTTTTGTAACTCATTTTAAATACCTGAATTAATATTTTATTTTTTGTTAAATGCGACTTGCTTTAATTTAATCACCATTTTTTTGCAATAACTTAGAATTAGGGGACGTAACTATAGATCGTTTATTTATTTAATCATTTTTTTGTTTGTTAAACAAAATATTTGTTTCTACAATGTTTTGTTTAATGTTTTTTTTTTAAATATATATTTTTTGATGTATGCTTTTTCGTTGAGCAAATATTTTTTCCTCCAGGTTTTTAACCTAAACTAAGATTTTTATAACTTAATTCGTCAATTTTGGGACTTAATAATGTCTCCTTTTATTCATTTTTTAACGACCTAAAATCCGAAGCCTACATAACAGAGTACCACGAATATCAACCAAATCCAGTGTTATTATTCAGAGAAATGCAAAGTGCAATTCACAGAAAAATACACCTCAAAGTCGTTAAAATGATGTTTGAAGAGCTTATGTACCATGGTTTCCTAACAAATTCTGTGCTAAATTCGCTTTAGATTTTAACTCCCTACTGGGTTAATCTTCGCTTTGTGGAGACGAACCAGGTATAATAATCCCAACAGGTCAGGTAAACGATTTGTACAGAAAAACAAAACAATACTTTTATCTTGTCATGTCGAGGATACATTTATTAAGTGTTATGTAACCACTATATTGATAGAAAGGATGTTTAGCGGATGTTTTGAACATAATACACATATGCAGTTTTGAATATCAGCCAAAACTAAGTTTCGTTTTTGAATATAATCATAATACAAAGTTTGTGTTTGATTTTAAATAAGGTAAATAACAAAAGGTTTCCAACAATTATATTAAAAATTATAATGATAATAGTGACCATTATAATAAGCTACATTTCAGATTTTATTGCTACAGTTCCTGCTATATAAACGACTGGTCTTTTGAGAGAAACCATTTTGTATATTATATAATTTGACTTTTCTGCCGACAAACATTATGAGTAAGATTGGTCTACCTGCTTGTGTAATAATGATTTGATCATGTTTACAAGTTTGTTGTCAGTTGATTACATTTATCTCACTGACTGTTTTTTCTTTTTATTTTTAATAAAGAAACAAATAAATTATACATCGCACATCTCCTCGCACCGAAGCAACAACAACCTGACCTTTACAACTCAATCAACCTTGATCTTCCGCTACGAATCCTTAATAAAAAATTCAAAAAAGCCACCGCGTTCCACGTGTAAAATATTTTCATCATGAATATTCATCCTCCAAATCCCTCGAATCCCAATAATATTCTTTTTTAATTTAATCAAGCAAGCCGAAATGGCACGCGCGCCTCAAAAATTAAGCATCAATTCAGATTTCCCTCGACGTCGTTGTGAAGCCGCCTTAATAAACGCGCCATATATTTTAAAATATGAAGTCTCCCGGCACTAACTAAAATTGCGAATTCGCGCCCTAAATGAAAACTTTCACGCTTATAAAATATTTAGAACGACGCCGAAAATGTCCTCGTCTTAACCCTACGCAGGCCTAAATTTTGATTAATTGGGTTAGTTATTAAACGCGAAAGGAAAGAATCTGCAAAAGGCGACTTTCTTGGTTTTTGCCGAAAGTGGAACAAGGACTGGCCGGAGGCGGCGGGGTCGAAAGTGAAATTCGAGTGTGATTTGATGGAAGAGACTTACCGGTTTCATTGTTTGATGGATTTTTTCGTGGTGGTGGTGTTAGTCTAACTTATCGGCTCACCTCTTGGGAATAAACTAAATTTATTTGGTGGTTTTAGTGAAAGTCGGCTCGAAAATCACGTCGACGGCGTACGAGATGTAATCACGTGACTTTTATAAATGAGCGAAACATGTTTTGACGGCTTTATGTGAAGATGATTTCATTTTATGCAAAACTGGTAATTTGTTCCTCTTCACGGACGCATCGCGGATGAGCGATTATAGCATGACAAATAAAGTGCGATGATAGAAGCCGCAAAATATTTTGGTTTTTTTCTTTTTTGTTGTTTTTAGCACAGGTTGCTTGCGCAATTAACTGACGTAACGAACGGAGTCAATGTGGGGTAGATGTCATAGATTTTTATTTTCGCCATTGCTGCGAAGAGTTTTTATCCGGTAAGAATTTACAGCGATCGAGCGGAGTCTTGGTTTACGGCGTGTTCACCTGTGCTGCGAACAACTATTAAATTACACTGGTCTACCATGAAAAATCATCAAGCCGAGAAATAGGTGGAACAAAGTTGTGCACGCTGATGCTGAATCTGTGTCAGTTTTTCTCTTATACCTTGCCTTGATGAAATAATGTAGAATTTTAATTCTATTATGTGTTATAGTTTTTATATTTTATTCTATTTTACAATCATAATCTTGATTATAAGTACCCAAATGCGGGCATAAACTGGCCTTTATGGCAAAAATTGCCAAGCAACGATTGATTATCCATTTACATTAGTAATTATTCAAACAAGCTTCGATATTTAACATTTTTATTAAAGTTGACAAAATAATATTTCGTTAAATCATTCCCTGGCCAACTTCACATTCTTCTAAAATTTCGTTTGAATAAACGTTTCCCCTTCTTCAGTTTGCATTTGAAAATCGAATTATTTAACAAATAAACAACGTGCTATCCATAACAATCTTGCCGAAAATGCTCAATATTTCGTTGAAAATATTGTTACGAAAGAAATCCATACGCCACCCTGGTACGACGCCTATGGGTTCTACTATGTACGTCGATGATGACTAATCGTCCATAACGGCGTTCGGGCGGCAGAAAATCCTGGAAGCGGAAGTTGCGATGGGCAATCCAGAAAGACTGCAAGAAGGGAATTATGGCTTGAAAAAGAGGCGAGATTTTTCCAAAAAGAAGTAGGATTTTTGGTGTATATTGTTTTGGCAAACGGAATCAAAACTCCGGGAACGAAGATCAATGCAATTGGCGATTGGCCAAGACCAAGAGATAAGCACGATGTCCGGAGTTTCTTGGGATTGTGCACGTACTACAGAAGGTATGTCAACGGGTTTGCTGATATTGCTGACGGATTTGAAATCTCAGATTAATTGGACCGCTGAATGTTAAGCAACCTTTAAAAGTTTGAAGAACGCACTATGCTCTGTAGTATATTCAGGTGAAAGAATCAGCAATAAAGACGCGTGATCAGCACGTGTTCAACTGCCTATTGGTCGAAAAATTTGGGGGAGGCTTTTTCCCAAGCCAGTTTTACACTGTACCGACATTTCGTTGCCGGTGCGTTTCATTGTTCACTCATCCCTTGCGTTGTGTCGTCTCATTGCTTTCATCGTTTTTGTTTTTGCTTGGTTTTATACTTGTGACCGCCATCATGTCGGATGTTGGAAACATTATTTTGTCAAAATCAGAACTTAAAATTTCTCTACAGTGTAACACGGGCTAGGCGCAGTAGGTAATCTGCTATTCTGTCCTATCCTCAATCATCGGAAATGTTCATCTTGCACACGGACGCGAGCAACATCGGAATAGGTGCTGTATTGTCACAGGTACAGGACAAGGAAGAAAAAGTCATCGAGTACTTCAGCAGCGCCCTTTCGAAACCCAAGAAGAACTACTGTGCTACGAGGAAGGAGCCAAGTTCTCTTGACCTCTTTTACGTCGCGGTTCAAAGGTAACATATAAGTAAGTTCGCAATTCAAATTTGCGTGAAGTATACGATACATAGAAATTAAGTGACCTCTATTTCGACGATCTACAAGACTTAGGATACCTAGGTTGGAGAGTCGTTCCTTGTAAGATATATGGTGGTAGCCATAAGGAATTCTCGTTGCTAATCTTTGAACGGGTTCAATAAGGTTGAGATCTTTGATTCAATCTACACTCCAGACTATGCATCCATATTCAAGAAGCGGATAACAAAATTGATAGAAAAGGCGTCCAATGCGGATGGGGATGATGTATTAAAGGTCTTTGAGAGATCACAATAAGAATCGGAACTGGTTAAAATTACAGAATTAATTGTATAATTCAATTTAGGATTACTATTTTCCAAACGTAGAACTACGCATTTAGTCTCACCAGAGAGAGATCTGATCAAGATCATTTTGCAAACGTGCATAATCGGAAAGTGGATTACCATATGTATAATTTACTATCGTCCGCAAAGGAAGAAATTTTGCATTTAACGTGCAGAGGAAGGTCGGAAACATAGAGTAGAACTAATAATGGACCAAGAACGGAACCTTGTGGGACCCCACTAGAAACCGCAGCAAAATCTGGGAAATGATCCCAACACGTACGCAAAATTTACGATCAGAAAGGTATGCTTTAATTCAGGATAATAGTTGGCTACGGAAGCCAGTGTGATCAAGCTTAAGCAGCAAAGCAGCCTTCGAGAAATCTAAATATATGACATCAATTGGGTGATTATGGTTGACAGCAAGGGTCTAATCATTGATGCAAATTAAAAGATTAGTAACAACTGACCTGCCTAGCATAAATCCGTGTTGCGTTTTATGTATTAAGTATATTATGTTGAGCGCAAAATCTATACATGTTAGTAACAATAATGCGTTGCATAATTTTAGTAACAACAGGGTGTGATAACCCAAACTTTCCGCCTTAAATTGACAATTGAAAAAAAGTTTGAAACGCCCGCGAAAAATTCAAAAATTCAAAATTTGGGCTTGGCTGTGATCGCCTAAACAAAGAAGCCTACGTTGTGTTTTTTTTTTGGCATGACGGGAAGACGTTCTTTCATACAAGTGAGTATACACTGCGAGAGCGCAAGAAATAATAGATAAAATTTTTGGGAGGCGGCTAAAAATCGCGCCCCCTCTCTAGGAGGAAAGGAGCTGCCAGCGAGGGCGACACGGACTTGCCATCTCGCATTCACTCCTCAGCCCCAAAACCCCCCTATAGTATATTCATCGACATATAATACATTGCAAATGAAACACCTTAAAAATACGAAAGAAAAGACAACCGCGAATTGACATACATACACATATGGAAACCAAACAAGTACAAAAACACTACGCTAATGTTTTGAATCAGTGCAACTATTTGAATATCACAAATTTAATAAAATAAAACAAAGCAAAATCTGAATTAAAGTAACTGGATGAAAATACACAAGTTATTACGGGCGTGTGGCGTCAAATTTAAAGTTACGGCAGTTAACAGGAGCACAACAAAAATACCCCTGGGGCGTTCTAGCACAAGCGGAGTTTGGGGCTCCCGGTCCGGGTTGGTCTCCCCCGCGAAGGTGATTCCATCTATCGTCACAGCACATCTCCATGACGAACATGCCGTCCTAACTAGGCCGTTACGGTCGAAAACTGTTGGTTGGATGTCAAGGCTGACAGCGTCACATCGTCCAGGCCGTCCCCACTGACTCTATACAAAGTCTGCACCCCTTGTGCAGATGGGGCGATAAATCCCGCTAGTCCCCCCTAGGAGCCGCGCCTTACGCTTCTGCTACGTGTTTCGGTGTTATCTAAACTCAGTTCCATTTTAATTGTTCAATTCCTTATAACTCTGATATTAACAACAATTGAACAAGTGTTATTTGATAGTAATATCACTTTCACCCTTTTCCTGACGACTCTTCAATTCAGTTCTCAGAGATTTAAGGTAAACATGTCGCCCTCTTTAGTAGAACGATTCTAGCCACTTGCGAGTTGATAAGCATTAGTTTTAAAGCTCTAGGCTTCTTGACTGTGGTGGAGAAATTGCTCATTCTGCTAAGAGTCCAGTCCAATTGTCTGGAGACAACTGCCTTGTCAAGCTCGGTGTTGTCTGTATCAGTGATACCATAGATGATAATGTTATTGGATCTGCGGGTTTGTTCGACAGCTTCACTTATGACATCTTCTGTTGACGAAGCTAAGTCAGCACTAGAAGAAGAAGCCCTCAGATCCTGCTTAAATAATTCCAATGCGACAGTAACACCATCAACATGTGCTAAAAGGTATTTATTGGCCGACTGAAGCTCAGCAATTGACTTTTCGTGGACAGTCAGTTGCTCAGTTTGAGTTTGTAAAATTTTTGTTTGCGTTACAAGTGTCGCTTTGCATTTGGCAACATCATTGGATAATGCCTTTTGAGAAGCTTTTAAAGCAGAAACTTCCCAGGCAACATGATGTCGTCTTTTTCACGTGAATAAATGGTCATCATTTACGTCATAGTGACCAAAGATTTCACGTGATATTGACGTACCAATGACGGTCAAATGTCTCGTCTAGATGACGTCATTTTCTCACGAACTATTGACGTGATGTACTGACGTCTTAGAGTCGTCATTTTCTAACGAATTATTGATGTGATTTACTGACGTCCTAGAGACGGCATTTATTGTCCATTTTAAGACGTTTTTTATATTTTGATTTTTAGAAAAAAATATGCAATAAATAAAACGCTGAAATAATTTTATTTTTTTATATTGTTTAGCTTAACTAAAATATTATAATTCGTTATAATCACCAAGTAAAGCCCAAAACAAAGTATATATTAATTAAAGTTAAAACAAATTAGTGTAAAAAAATTAAATTTACTACAATTTTGTACAACCAACAACTTCAATAAACAAATAAAAAATATGTCAATTACACAAATTAAAGATAAACCACTCCTAAGAACACAAACAAATCTACATACAGGTAATTACGAGTATAATTAGTATAAACAAAAAAAAGGATATTGTACAATATATGTATAATCAAAAATAAACGTTGCAATAAAATATGCTATTTAAAGAAAAATCAGTTTTAAAACACAAAGAAATCGATTTAGTTACAAAGGATATTAAAAAAAAACTATAATAAACTATAGATCAGTTTTAAAAACACAAACAAGTCTATTTACAATAAATATTTAAAGAAAAAACTAGAATAAAGGGAAAAGACAATTGAATCGCATTGTTGAAGTTACTTGATTGAAAATG